GCACCCACTAAGCATCAAATAAGCTTATCCCAAGTAGGCAAGTATAAATTGGTATATAAGACTTGAAAACTCATCAAGTAGATGACTTACTTTAATCCATGTGATTGAATTATTAGAAGCCAAGCTAATAACTTGTCTATGGTCTAGTAGAAGACTTTCGTTAATCGAACAATTCAAAAATTAGTATAATAATTTTCTTAAATTATAGGCTAATACATTCATGTAAAAATAATATAAATTATGGTTGTATATTTTTGGTAGCCATGTATAAAGTCAAATTTATAATACTTGAGCCTCAACCAAAACCTATAAATAGAGGACAAAGGAGTGACCTCAATAGATGCATATTTTTTATTAGAACTTATTCTAATAAAGTCCCAATTAAAGCTTTTATTTCTAGAATTCTTTTTTCTCTCTCTATTTCTCCACTTTCTTTTCCGCAATACTCTCATTAGTTTCAATATGATTCACGTACGGATAATATTTGAGTCACGACTAAGTCCTAAGTTTAAGTCTAAGACATATCTAAGCTAGTCATAGTCGAAGGTGTCAATGAGCGGGCTCCTAGTAACGGTTTGTACTAAGAGGTGTTAAAAAAGTTGGTCAATGTAATTCCTTAAAGAATGCTCAATTACTTGAAAATATCTATTAGCAATAATACCAACTCAATTTTATAACTTGCAATGTATGTATAATAGTTAAATTTTGAAGATACAAATAAATAGAACACTAAAGGTTTCTAGACTTTGAATATACACTGTTTTTTGTCATGGAAGTGCCTTAGACGGCTGCAACTCCCTTTAGTCTCAGTCGCCGCCAAACATCAGCCATGGAGTTCTCCGGCGAGGAATAAGGGAAATTTGCCGGCCACCATCGTCGGTATCCGCCTCTCGTAGCCCATTGCGAAGCACCTAATTCCAATATTGCGGTCTTTGTGCCAACTAATTCGGAGGAAAAAAAACAAAGTTAACTGTGACTTTAGTTGAGGACTTCGTATGAAAGACGTTAACATTGGAAAAATAAAAAAATCATAAAGTTACGGAGTTATTCTAACGGCACGTAACAGAATTTGGTTGGCGGACAATGTCACAGGAGTCTAAGTGTTATTTCCGAAGTCTTCGGAATTCACAATGAGTTTTTCATTTATTTTGGGTGCAATCCAATGCGTGGTCGCCTCATGCTTAAGGCTTCGTTTGGGACGGCTTTTTATTGCTTACTAAAATAGAGTTTTAGTAAGAAATAAAATGTTTTTTTATTGCTTTCTAAAACGGAGTTTTAGTACAAAAATTTTTATTTTTTACTAAAACTCCGTTTTAGAAATTAAGCAATAAAAAAACCGTCCCAAACGAACCCTAAATCTGTTATTTATTGATTTATTATTTTTTATTTATTCATTGATAACGTAGCAACTGCTGTCATGTCGTTCCAGAAATTTCATCCAGTCAATTAGGCAAATAATTCTAAGAGATTATTTTATAGCTAGTAAAAAAATTCACTAGCAAAAAAATTCTCATTCATCGATGTTTAGTTTGGTTGATGGGTGAGTACTCGATTTTTCTCGAGTGGTTGTATCTTTTAAGTGGGATTTAATTAAGCGCGGGCCAGAAAATTTTTGTGGTAGGTGTCTCTTTTAGGAACAATTATTACGTCTTCCGACCGGACGTAAAGGAACGTCCGGTCCTCCGACCGGACGTAGAGGAACGTCCGGTCCTCCGACCGGACGTAGAGGAACGTCCGGTCGGAGGCAAAATCGCGCCAAAAAACGTGAAATACCGAGCAATACCAAACAATAACGAGGAATACCATCATGTGAAGACCCAATACCGAGTTATACCGAACTATACCGAGCAATACCGATTTATACAAAAAAATACCGAGTTTTCCTAGAAAAAACTCAGTACAACTCGGTATTGCTCAGTATAGCTCGGTATAACTCGGTATTGGCCTTCAAAGAGCGGTATTCCTTGTTATTATCAAATAATACCTAGCAATACCGAGTAAATACCGAGCTTTTTGGCGGAATTTTGCCTCCGACCGGACGTTCCTCTGCATACGTTCACCGGACCTAATAATTGTTCCTCTTTTAGGTCAGTTGAGAATTTGTCATGTCGTCATATACCCTTTTCGAGGGTGACAGAAGATGGATATCCCGTTCAAAAAAAAAAATCTCACTTATATTGATTTTATTTAAAAGTTTATTTTTAATGGACATTAAAATTTTATGCAGCATTAAAATTTCAAATTTTTCAGATTTTTCAAATTTTTTAGTATTACGTTTTCATTTCATTCAAATTGTTATATGCATGATATACGTAATATTTAAGACTAAAATATAATTTTTTAGGACAAATGATGGAGGCTAGTGGGTGGGGCAGTACTAAGGGTTGGACCTTAACGTCGCCAACATGATTTAGATAAGTATAATCATGCTTATTAGTTATTAAAATGATTTAGTTTTTGCTAAATAGATTTGGGAGTAAACTTCTTCTAGTGAGAACTACTAAAACTAAAGTAGTGAGAGTTTGTGTTCGTCTGAGGTTTTATTTGAGACGGCTAAAAAATTGCTTTAAGTAATAGAAAAGCCGCCCCAAATGAAGCCTAAAAGGTGGTCAAGTGATTGAATTGACTACATCTAATTTAAGGCTAACTTGAGTTATTTAGTTGCTCAGAAAGTGGAATAAATTGAGTCATGCCCATCAAATCCAAATAATTGTCATATCCATTTAGCTGCTAAAAGCCTAAAATAGCACCATTATATTGGTGGCTAAATGACCACAACAAAATACAAAAAAAAAAAAAATTGTAAAGTAATTTTTTTTGCTAAAATTGGCATTTGCATCATTTAATTTAAAATAGAGTATCATAAAGGCTTTATCCCACTATGGAGTCAACTACATGAATCTTTTTTCCCCATTATTTCATGTTAAAAGTTAAATTCTCATTTAAATTTAATAAAAAAAATATCATTTCTAATATTTTATGATAAGTCTTTTTAGATTCACCTCTACATTTCTTAACATATGTCAAATCCAATACATCAACTCTTCTAACCGAGTCATTGGAAGGCTGACGTTTTATGTTTTCAAATCATCTAAGGTGGCTCTATCTAATTTTATCTACTACTACAGCAACTCCAATCTTTTCATGCATATAATTGTTTCACATTCTGTCTCTAAACATGAAGCCACTCATCTACCTAAGCTTCATCATCTCTGCAACACTTAACTAAAATTTATGCTTCTCTTTTAATAGCCTCACAAAGCATATAGACAATTGAACAAAAACATAAGTTTGTGAGATGTATAAAACACTAAAAGAAAAGGATTAATAAGTTTCTTAAAAAAAAAGTATTTATGAAAAATTTTTTATTTAATTGTTTTCGCAAAGTAATTAAATGCGGGCAGAATAATGTTTACTATAAAAAATTTACCATCACAATTTCTTTCGACAGATTGCTGATGAGAAATAACACCTTTTTCATTGAAATTTCCTAAAGTGGGGAAAACACCGACAAAAAATCTCTGAAAATTTCTAACAAAAATTTTCATCGGAATTTTTAAGAGGAATTTTTAATGGAAAAATTTATGGTAGAATTTTCACCGAGAAAACTATCAAGTTTTTTGTTGAAATTTTCAAGAAAAATTTTCATTTTTTCATTATCGAATATATTCGACAGAAACCTAGCTATAACAAATACTAAAAAAACTTGTAACATTCTATTTACATGGAAACCAATTGTAAATCATAGCAAAGCATTGCAAAACATTATAACAAACTAATATAACTCAAAACTAATATTCTAAAATAATAATAATAATAATAATAATAAAAAAATCATTAAAGAAAAATATATAACTGTAATCATTGAAGAAAAATATATAACTGTAATAAAATTTTAATACTCTCTCAATTTTTTTTATCAAATTTAATATTGAGTTCATCACATTTTATATTAGATGTAATACACCAAATCCAATTAACCTTCTTCCTACATTGTTATTTCATATATGATCTAAGCTTCGCTTGCATCTTAAATTGTTGTGTATCTTAGTATATCTGCCTATACTTTCACATACACTCTATCTTGTTGCTGAGAGAAATCATTCTTTGGCTACCTCTCTCCTCAATGTCGGTATCATCGTAGGCTTCTAAAATGGATGGTTGTCTCATATGTGTACGCATGGGAGCCTAATCCCTAAACTCTCCCCTTTTTTCCTACCTCCAACTCTTGTGGCCATGTGCTATGGTTGGAGAACTATGTAGATCCCATAAATGATCACTTGCCAATAGATCAATTTTGTACAAATGAACACTTTACAAATTTCAAAACTGACATATATCAGCTTTCTTGATCATTGATCAACCCACCGATGATCCTCTTAGCGTTGATGTGTGCATTTATGCAGCTCCAATGTGATAGAGCTGTCTACCAAATACCTCCTACTTCAAAAAATCGTGTTAAGACAACAAATAAAAAAATAATTTGAATAAATGATAGTCAATCAGTTTATGTAATAAGAGTTATATTCTTTAAAAAAAATTCAAAACCATTATTATCAACATTTGTGATGTTTCTTAGTGCTTTCTAAAATAAGCTTTTAAGTACAAAAATTTTAGTTTAAGAATTTTTTGTACAAGAAAATTATAAGAAAATTGTCCTAAACGAAGATAAAATCAAGATTGAGGTTTCATTTATAACAACTTTTTTATTACTTTCTAAAGTAACTTTTTAGTATAAAATTTGTATACTAAAATATTTATTTTTTTAAATACTAAAAAAGTCATCACAAACAAATCTGATTTTACAACTAAACGAAAGCTGATTTCAATCCGATTCTTTTACCCTCCCCTTTCACTTTTGCATTTGTTTGCATTTGCATTTCATTTCCACTCCGTCAATTCCTTCCAATCTACCTTCAGATCAAACTTCCCCTACCACCTACCGCCTCTAGCAATCCCGCTATAAATACTCGCGAAAGTTTTCAATCTCTCACACTGCAATACATCTTCAGCTGACCTTCAGCACCCATTGTCGCTCTTATCCCACGAGAGCTCTTAGTATCTTCCCAATGGCTTCCAAAGCTCTGTTCTCTCTCCTTCTACCACTTGCCCTATTCGCCTCTGCCGTTCTTGGTAACGATAAAATCAAACTCCGAATATCTAATTAAGTAATTCATACTTCGCTAATCGTATTTTTATACGCAGGAGAATCCGATGTCACCTGCGAGAAGCTGGACCGCGCCACATGCGCATTCGCGGTGTCCTCTTCCGGTCATCGATGCGTGCTAGAGAAGCACCTGGGAGGGGACAATCGGGCGGAGAATTACTCGTGCCGCAGCTCCGGCGTGGAAGCCGCGGGCCGCTTCTCCGGCTGGATCGAGACCGACGAGTGCGTGAAAGCTTGCGGCCTAAGCCGGGAAACGCTCGGGATCTCGTCGGATTCCTTGCTCGACCAGCAGTTCATGCGGCAGCTCTGCTCGCCGGAATGCTACCGCGGCTGCCCCAACGTCGTCGAACTATACTTTAACCTCGCCGCCGGCGAAGGTAACGATTAAACTCAAGCTTGACTGCATTTGTGGCATGAAATTATATTTAAAAATAATAAAATATGAAGCGATTTGAGTATATTTACAAAAATGAAATGCGATATTTTTATAATATTTAAAAATGAAAAGTATTTTTAAATATATCATTAAATAATCAAATTTTGAGATATTTGATATTTCTATAAATTCAGTAGCATGAATATTATAAAAAATAATATCTATGTTATGTACAATATATTAGAAGGAAGCCCCTTCTACTGTGAGATTCATTCAAAGTATTTAACTAATTAATAGTATCCTTATTGAACAAAATTTTCACATATTTATTTCACAATTAAGAGGCCATTCATTCACGAAAATGCTTCAAATGATTAAATCGCTTTAAAAATTAAGAAAAATATTAATATCACCAACTAATGATTTAAGTTTCATTTGGATCAGTTTTTTTTCTTTCTAAAAATTCTTTTTAATAGAAAAATTTTTAGATCTAGAAATTTTTGTATAAAAAATTATTTTAGAAAACTATTCTAATAAAAGTCTTAGATTTTATTTGGAAAAGTTTGTTACTATTTTTTATAATAATTTTTTAGAATAAAATTTTTTTTAATACAATGAAAAAATAATAGGAAGAAGTTGTCGCAAAAGAATCCTTAGTTGTTATGCAAGTTCATCATTGGGGATGAATGAGTTTTATATCTAAATCTTTATTTTAAAAAATTTATGCGTTTTATTTTTTTTCTATAATTTTTTAATATGCTTAGGTCCTTGTAACACTGTTTGATCTGATGACGACAATAATGTGAAACCATGAAGAAGACGCACTAAATGAGTCAAAATAAATACTTAAAAATCCAAATTGAAGTCAATAGCTTTTCATCATGTTTGGCAACTTAACGACTAAAAATAGTGCTTTCTAGCAAGAAAGCACTTCCTTGAAGACTTTATGGTATCTCAGATGGCTAAATCTAAAATTTATGAAGTTAGATTTTTAGTGCTATCTTATAGTAAAAAAGAATATCATGTACGTACCTTTAATATTAACTTCTTGCAAGTTTTATTAAATAACTTTATTTGAGAATTTTTTTTATTTATAATGTTTTTTTTATGTGAAGCGTCAGCTCCGTCGTGATTTAGCGTTTTGCAATTCTTTCTTATCTTGGATTTATAGATCAAAATGATGGAGAAATAGGTGAGAACATTAATGTTAATAGAACTCAAATTAGATGATTGAAGTTGAGGAAAGCATGGCCTTTTATGTGATAGAAAAGTACCGCTTAAACTTATGGGAAAATTTTATAAGATGATGGTGAGGCTGTAATGCTTTATGGCGCAGAATGTTTGTTATTAAAATAGAAGCATAAAATTAAGCTAAGTGTTGCAAGATGAAGATGCTTAGGTGGATGACTGGCTTTACACTTAAAGAAAGAATGTGAAACAAGTATATGCGTGAAAATGTTAGAGTAGCTCCACCGACAAATAAGATTAGAAAAGTGTTTTAGATGGTTTGGTTATGTAAAATGTTGGCTTTCGATGACCCTATCAGAAGAGTACATATATTATATAGACATATGGTAAGAAAAATAGAGGAAGATCTAAAAGACTTTAAAAATTATATTTTTTTATTCGATTTAAATGAGAATTTGACTCTTAAAATGATACAATATTGAATTTTTTTTAGCTGATCTCGTATAATATAGAATAATTTGGCTTTCCGATGACCCTATCAGAAGAGTACATATATTATATAGACATAGGGTAAGAAAAATAGAGGTAGATCTAAAAGACTTTAAAAATTATATTTTTTTATTCGATTTAAATGAGAATTTGACTCTTAAAATGATACAATATTGAAAAAATATTTTTTAGCTAACCTTGTATAATAGAATAAAATTTTTTTGGTGTTATTTTTTGTAATTTATTATAAGAAGTATATATCTCCAAGTAATTATTCTCTTTAGATGGCGTGTAATCCATACGATAAACGTTGTGTTTTGAAAAAGTTAAAACTTTTTATTACATATGAAAACACTAATTAAATAAAAAATGCAGTCAAATGGGAGTTTTAGGGAAGAAATACAACCTTATTACTAAGAACTAAAAAAAAGGAATTATATCAGGCTATATTGACGGAAAATGAATTGAGTAAAGTCTTCCAATTTTATTTTTGAGATTAATATAATTCAGGATATTATATATAACATTGATCTATATATAAATCAGCCATTTTGGATTATATCACGATGGCTATCTGGGTGGTAGAATGTAATATTAAAATTTTAGATATTAGATATATAAATAATATGAAATAAAGTGGTATGTATGAAAATCATCCTAATAATTATTATTATATTAGCCAAATAAAAAAATAGATAAAATGATGAATTAATGAAATAAAAAAATATGATTAATCAACGTTCCCAGATATATATGTATATGTTTTTACTCCTCATACAAGCTTACTAAAGCCAAGTAAGGATTTTTTTTCCTTTTTCGTTTTGCATGAAAATCTTCTTTTGTTTTTTTTTTAATCGCAGGCGTTTTCCTTCCAAACTCGTGCGGAAGAAACGGAGGCAGTTCCCGACGAGAAATGGCTGAGATAAAGAGCTCCGGTGAGGTGAAGGCAGCGCCTGGGCCTTGGGTGAGCTTTATAGCATTACCTCCGACATCGCCGGAGAAGCTTTCAGCCTATAACAATGGCGAAGCCTTGCCGCCGCTTTAAATAGCTAGTGCTGTATAATTCAAATATAGTAGAATAAATCTTCTGTAGTTGTGTATGTCAGTACTATATACTCTACTGTCACAAAATAAAATGCGCGCCTTCAGACGCTTGCAAGTGCATTATTTGTTGTAGAAGACAAAGTTCTTATTCAAGTTTTTTTAATGAAGTAAATGGGAATAATATTCTCATGCAATTATTAGTTTCTTTCTAACTAAAGTGTTTGTATGTGAATTCAACTTCGTCGTACGTTTTTAATTTCTATATGTTGAGGTACAGCCTTAAATTTCGCAAGAAAAAAAATCAACTTTGTAGCACTTTGTCAAAGTTAATAATCATTTTTCTCTTTAAACAAGAAGTAAATAAATTAACAAATAAAAGAAAACGATAGTATATAAACATAATTAGTTGACATTTGTTGCCATCAATTATGCTAGAATTGGCAGTAGACGTTTTGAGGAGGAAAAAAATGTGTTTTTTTTTTTTAACTTTGCATTTTGTATTAAACAAGAAAAGAAAGATATAACCTACTAAGGAAAAAGAAGTCGTCCTTTCCGATCAAGTCAACAAATCTTGATGGAAGTTCACTACCCAAAAAAACATCTCAATAAAAATCACCAAATATGACATGATGAGAATATTGCCAAACATGAAAAACTACATGAATATTGCCTTATTGGATGGTCTTTTGCGTGGCTTGGGGGGGCTGGGAGCCTCGGCATTTTCTGAGCCCTCGTTGGGTGTTCTCCTTGTATTTTTTGCTTTCTTTTCTTGGGCCTCTTTGGCCTAATTCTCACTATAGTTTGTATCCCTTTCTCTTTTTATTCTAATGATATTTTGTAAAAAAAAAATGACATGATGAGAATAAAAATCAGCCACATTATTACACTCTCTAGATAAAAATTAAAAAATAACATTCTTAAACACTTCTAAAAAAGAAAGATCCAACCTTTGAACTTCGTTATTCCTGTCAAAAGCCTTACTCACTGAATCCTGAAGTAGCTTGATGATATTTACATTATCCCATTCTATAATAATACCTTTATTGTCTAATATCCATTCTTTAATACAAATTTTAAAATCTAAGATAGCTGTCAATTCCAAGTAGGATACGTTCCAATGAATAAATTGTGTTCATAAATTTTGGCCTTCCTCTCAATAGTTGCTAAGATATTGTTCTAAGCAAGCAATCGATATGATTGCCGATAAACCTAATAAGCTCAGACCCGAAACTATTCGCATTCCAAAATGAATTTTTGGAACGCATAATATGGACACTATGAATCTAGAAATATATAATTAATCCGTTTTAGACAATTTATTTGCCTATATTTTTATAAGAGTTGTTTGTGGCAGTGGTTTTTGCCAGAGTTCTTTTTTTTTTTTTTCTAAAATGAATATTAACAACGTGCATCTCTTTCTATAATTTTGAAGAAGTTTATAATGAGATACCTAATTTATTGTAGCGTTAAAAATGTTTGCAAGTGGAATGCGAAAATGTTAAAAAAATAGCATTTTAAGATCATGTTAGCAAAGAGAAAAAAAGGGTGAAAATTTCAAATTTGAAAATTTGATCAAGTCGTCGCTGACTTAGCAATTTTTTTGTCGCCAGGTAGGTGAATTAGGCTTTGTTTAAACAATTTTCTTAATGCTTTCTACATCAGCTTTTTAGTACAAAAAATATTTGTTCAAAGAAGTTTTTGTACTAAAAAATTATTTTAGAAAGCAATAAAAAAGTTATATACTAAGCCAAATCTTAGCCCCCCGCCAGCGACTTCACTGCTATGAGTTAGAAATCACCTGCCCTATGATCATTTTTATATATATATAAAATTGGCTAGCCGTAAGATAGTTATTGGGACGGTTAAACGGGCTTTAAGCTCCGATTATCCCGCATTTGAACCTCTTTTGTCCCTTTCGAAGCTAGATTTAAGATAGTTTTTGGTAGTTGAGAGGACCCATTCCATATTTTATATATTTGGGTTTATAGAGAAAATCTGCTCTTGCATGTGAGGAACTATATATAGAACACAAAATAAACCTATAAACTAGTTTCAATGATTATTTTGGGCCCTCTCATATGTTTAATTTGTAAGTAAACAAGGAAAATGATAACTTATCCTTTTGATGCAGTTTTAACTAGGGCTGTCAATATTTGACACGACACGAAAATCCGATCCGAATCCGACCCGGAAAATCCGGATTGGACCCGACCCGTTTGAAAAATGGGTCGGGTTCGGGTTCGCAGATTCGACCCATTTAAAAAAACAGGTCGGGTTCGGGTTGACCCGACAGGTTGTCGGGTCAACCCAGAAACTTGTTTAAAATGACTTCACGCGAGTTCGCGCACCCGGCCAGCGTCGCACCCACCGCCCATGCACCCGCACTACCGCATCCCACGCTGCCGCGTCTCTCGCACCTACGCGCCCGCGCGCTTCCGGCGCACCCAACCAGCCATGCTAAGTAAAATTTAAAAATAGATTTTCATTTATAGATTAACTTTTAATATATATTTTTTAACTAATGCTTTCTCTATTATTATCACAGAGGCAATGATCAATTCTTGCGTGAATAGAATCTGAACACAACTCTCCTTGGCCTCTTGGTTGAGAGCTTAGGCTTCCAACTAAGAGGTCCAAGGTTCGAGTCTATGTGTATGCGTTGTGTGTGTGAGTTTGCCTTAAATGGCCTAAATGTCCCAAAAAAAAAGAATAGAATCTGAAGTGATGGAGAAGGAAAGGAGGAATAGAAATGGGATGCTCCTTATTTTTCTTATGTATATGCTTAAGGTCACATTTTGAAATGCAATCATGGACATATTTTTTATATTCACCTCTATGTATCTATATATATTTCTACGTAAGATAATGTGGATTTTATTTTGAGTACCATTGCAATTTTTTTTTTTGTAATTTTTAATTCATTGTTACTTGTTCACATTTTTATATATTTTTCTGTCATCAGTTTTAATGTAGAGATTCTCAAATTATTTCCTTCAAGATCGCAGACCATGATTAGGCCAAGTAGAGAAATGTAGAGTTTTCTTTTCTATTGCTACCCTATTGTTACTCTAGAGAATAATGGAGACCTTCCTCACTTCTTTTATTTATCAATCTTTGATTGTAAATGCATCTAATGACAACAATAATATTTTTTTGTCTCTAGTTGCAAGCATCACAGCTAGTCATGGTGAAATTTATGTATGTTCAATTTTGTTTTATTTCAAACTAATATCAAAATGAGTTTGTTCAAATCCATTTTTGTTTGAATTTTACTACACCAAAATTAGTTTAGAATAGGATCATATTTAACTTGGTTTGTTTGGTTATGTTCTATTCTTAGGTACTATTGAGGGCTAGAATATATACGGCGATAGAGTTATAATCCTACGTCTTAGCGTTGTACGGATATCCAGCTCACACACAGAGAATATAAGATTTTTTACTTGGAAAACCCACCCTAGAAAGGGGAAAAACAACGGGGCATGGCCCAATTGAAAATGATTCAACTAGAATTTGAGTAGATTACAGTGGGCTAACTCATCCTTGAGAGCGATCAGTTTACAAATGCCAACCGTATGGTTAAAATCTACTGGCAAATGGGGATTAAAATTGGGCATCACTTGGTGGTTCGTCGGAAGTTTAGAGTTACTTGGAAATTTGGTAGTCGGTTAGTGGTCTGGCAGAATACGGGTGTCAGTTGGTGGTTTGGCAGAACTCCAGGAGTCAAGTGGTGGTCCCGCTGAACTCCGGGCAATAGGTGTTGGTCTTGTGGAGCTCAAGGATTCAGGTGGTGGTCTAGTAGATCTCCAGGCGTCAGGTGGTGGTCCTGTGGAGCTCAGGCCATTAGGTGGTGGTCATGCTGAACGTTGGGCATTAGGTAGTGATCTGATGGAGCTCAGGGCATCAGATGGTAGTCTTATACAACTCTGGCATCAGGTGTTTATCTTGTGAACCTCAAGGTGTCATGTGGTGGTCCTACAGAACTTCGTGCATCAAGTTGTGATCCGATTGAGCTTAGGGTATCAAGTGGTGGTCCAAAGGAATTCCGACGGTGGTCGAGGAGGCAAGAGCGATCTCCGATCTCTCTCTTTTCTCCTTAGGCTTAGGGGTCCCTTTTGAAGAGGAACCGGGGGGGGTCTATTTATAGATTCCCTAGAGTGGCATGCTCTTAAATAGGAGGAGGATAAATGGCAAATGAGGAGTGGTTTGGATTGATGGCCGATATTGAATCCCTTGATCTTGGACCCTTAGCTATACATTTTAAGGTCTTAATGATGTCGGAATTATATGATCTTGGGTCTGTTGGATTTGTTTTACAAATTTTCTCTATTTGATTATAAGCATGCCACGTTTGGAAACTATTTGGTAATCTAAATTGTGGTGTGAACCCTCCAACAGTGCTTTGGACCTTTGATTTGGACCCATTTGGGCTCAAATTGAGTCGAATTTGGTGTCATTGGGATTGTATTTCCAAGATGTTCAATTCAATTGTAACTTTGTTGAAATCGGAGTTTGGATGGTCCAAATTTTAATTTGGAAGTTTGCAACACTTTTTCCTTGAGATTCATGCCCAATCAAGATAATTTTTTGAGGATACATCAGTTACCCCACTATTTTTGAACATCGAAGCTCTAAAAGTTTTAAAATATGTGTCACATCCTTTTGGGAATTTTTTTGTGCAATTTAGAAACTTGAAATAATTCAAGCTTGGGCGTTGAGGTCCTAAATGGCTTTAAAAGTGTCAAAAGCTAGTTTGTAGCATCCAAAAAAGATCCCGGGGATCCCAAAAATGTTTGATTTGACTTTTTAGTGGTTAGAATCGGGCCCAAAAATGGGCTTTTCAGGGATCGAGGAGCCATTCTAACACTTGAATATCTTTCACGGATGGTGCAACTCATTTGTGATACGCAGGGGCATGTAACATTAGATCTAAGTGATTGGACATACATACCTGAGATCCTATGAAGAGTTGGGCCAGCACATTTTTCTTTGTTAGAAATAATTGGGGCCTAATAGAGACGTAGGAGAAGAAGAAAGATTTACCAGCCCCTTTGCATGTTGGAGAAGAAGATATACTGAGAATCCTTAAGGTTCCTAACATCAAACATCTTCTATAAGAGGTCCATTGTTTGAATAAATATATAGAAGAAGAGTTCTTATTTAGAGTTGGGCTATCATTTCACACTTGGAGGTTCAATGCAAGGATGCTGAA